ATGAAATGTTAAATGTTATTCCAACAGCTTTTTAAGTGGTTAAAGTGTTAAATGCCTACTATAGATGGTTGAATCTCCTTTTTACTTACCCAATTCAGATTGTCAGACTAAATATGTAATAATAGAGGAACCTGAAGGCACGGAGGAAAACTGCAATGGGTCACTATAGCCAGAACTATAGCTTGCCTGTCTGTCATATTCCCGAATCATTATTTAACACATTGTATAATGAAAATACTCTTAGAAACCTTTCTGTCTTCTTCTTTGAAGTGAGATGAAGAATAAGAAGGTTGTAGATAAGAGAATGCTACTATTGAAATGTTCTTTCCAATACTGTCTGTTTTCAGTTTGGGGTTTTTTATTATTATTATTTTTTATGCTTCACATTGGATGAATACTTGAGATCTAATTTTTTGGCATCTACCTTCTAATCTTGTAAAGAGATTTCCCTACAAGTAGTTTATATTGAGTGAGTTCATAAATGCATCGTAAAGTAAATTACAGGTCAGGCCAGGGGTACATTATGCAGTCAAATACCATAGTAAGCTTTCCTTGTTTTGGAAGCCTGGTATATTTTTGTTTCTCAGCAAACCTCAGGAGCTTTCGTTTTTAAATCACTAAATAGCAACTCTACAAGAACCATCAGGCAGACTGAACATTAATTTTTTGTTCTCATTTTTGCTATAATTTCAATTTTCCAACACGTAGCAAAAATACGTACTGTGGTGAAACTGGATTATTCTTAAAATTACAATAATCAATAAAAATATTACTGTATTTGCCTCTGTCATATTTCACATTGTTCTGTGCCTCCAATCCTCAAAAGTTTTTCATTTCTCTTGTTTTGCAGTGTGTTAGATGTGACTGCTTTCTTGTGTCATTATTAGTTAGCTTTTTGTTTAGTTATTAGTTGGTTGCTTTTTTATAATGTCCATGTTATCTTTGAAAATAAATTATCATGAAATAGAGTTAGCTAGCTACTTGCCAAAGTGGCATTTACCATCCTCAGATTCTTTTCAGAGTGAGAGAAATAATGTGACTCCAATAGGGCATGTGTCCAGGCTTCTTGGATACTGTCCAGATATTTGACTAGCTGAACTGCATCTTTCTATTTCTTCCCTCCACCCCCCTCCCCCGCAATTGAAGCTGAATCCCTGCTCAGGGCATGAGATGTTGTCTAATTTTGTACACATTGTTAGTCTCTCAGAATAATGAAGAGGATGATAATATAACATTTCTCAGCTTGCTAGCTATCATTACACTTCAGGCTGCTTCTTTAACCAATGTATATGTTTCTGAAGGACACTTTTGGTAACATTTTTTTTTTTT